TGGGGCCACCCTGACCCCTGACTCTCCAGAACCCCTGGTCCATCTGATTGGCTGACCCTCTAGTTATTTTCTCCACCTGGCCCAAACCACTGCCATTTCTCTCTCTCTCTCTCTTTTTTTTTTTTTGTTTGAGACAGAGTCTTGCTCTGTCGCCCAGGCTGGAGTGCAGTGGTGCGATCTCAGCTCACTGCCAACCTCTGCCTCTTGGGTTCAAGAGATTCTCCTGCCTCAGCCTTATGCCCGGCTAATTTTTGTATTTTTTAGTAGAGATGGGGTTTCGCTATGTTGGCCAAGCTGGTCTCGAACTCCTGACCTCAGGTGATCCACCCACCTCAGCCTCCCAAAGTGCTGGAGTTACAGGCATGAGCTACTGCGCCTGGCCTCCACTGCTACCTTCTTTTGGAGCCTCCCACGTGGTCTTCCGATTTATTCCTCCCTTCCTTCTCCAATGTCTCTCAGCGGGCAGGGGCACCCTTCCAAAATGCAGACCTAGGCCTGGCTCTCCCCCAGGTACTTCCTGTTGTGGGTCTCATTTGCCCTCTGGAAATTGCCTTGGCCCAGCTTATGAGGCCTTCTACATGGGTCAGTGAGTAAAAGGACGCAGCTCTGTCCCAGAGTGCATGGCTGGGCAGACGTAACCCGGGCTGGATGTCCGCCTCTGCCCACCACTTCAGCCCGGCACCATGTGCTGAGCGTCCTCGGGAACCTTGACCGAGTCTGCACCTGCCCCGACATGTCACCTCCAGCCACCCTGTGTCTACTGTGGTGACACCTTCTTATTCCTGGAATGCACGAAGTCCCTGTCCAGCTCCGTTTTTGCCCACATGGCTCTCCTCTCAAACACCCACCTGCCTCAGCCCTCCTCTCTTTGTGCCCCCAAAGCCTCACTTGCTCTTCAAGCCTCAGCTTCTAGGACTCTTCCTACTTTCTGCATTAGGTGAGGTCCCCTGCTTTGTTTTTTCAGAGGCAGGGTCTTGCTCTGTGGCCCATGCTCAAGAGCAGTGTCACGGCTCACTGCAGTGTCAAACTCCTGGTCTCAAACAGTCCTCCTGCCTCAGCCTCCAGAGTAGCTGGGACCACAGGCACACACCACCATACCTAGCTAATTAAAATTTTTTAGAGAAAGGGTTCCACTATGTTGCCTAGGCTGGTCTCGAACTCCTGGCCTCAAGTGATCCTCCCACCTTGGCCTCCCAAAGCACTGAGATTACAGGCCTGAGCCACCGCATGAGCCTTACTCTGTTTTGTGCTCCCTGGCAGCTGCTTCCCCAGTGAGGACACTCAGCTGCTTGGCCTCCCAGCCAGAAGGGCAGGGCTCAGTAAATATGTGTTGACTCAATGAGCAGGGACTGGGTGCCAAGTCTTGGATGCCTGCCACGCTCTTGTGACTTGTCTTTCTGCCTTTAGTCTGGTCCCTTCCTTCAATTTCCCACCTGCCCCTAAAGTGGTCTTTCTAAGACCCAGCTGGGACCCGTCACTCTGCCTGTCAGGTATCCAGAGCTCTATCCAAAATCATTCCAGGTTGGGCATGGTGGCTCACGCCTCTAATCCCAGCACTCTGGGAGGCTGGGGCAGCAGGATGGCTTGAGCCCAGGAGTTTGAAGCCAGCCTGGGCAACATAGCAAGACTCCATCTCCACAAAAAAATAAAAAAATTGGCTGGGCGTGGTGGCTCACACCTGTAGCCCCAGCTACTCTGGAGGCTGAGGCAGGAGGATTGCTTGAGCCCAGGAGTTTGAGGCTGCAGGAAGATGTGATCGTGCCACTGCATTCCAGCCTGGGGACACAGAAAGACCTTGCCTCTGAAAAAAGAATACTTGTCCTGCCCCCACCGCCCCCCCTTTTTTTTTGAGATGGAGTTTCACTCTTGTTGCCCAGGCTGGAGTGTAATGGTGCAGTCTCAGCTCACTGCAACCTCTGCCTCCTGGGTCCAAGCAATTCTCCTGCCTCAGCCTTCCAAGTAGCTGGAATTACAGTCGCACGCCACCACACCCAGCTAATTTTTTTGCATTTTTAGTAGAGATGGGGTTTCATCATGTTGGCTGGACTGGTCTCGAACTCCTGACCTCAGGCAATCTGCACACCTTGGCCTCCCATTGTGCTGAGATTACAGGCGTAAACCACTGCGCCTGGTCTCCAAACCCCTTTTTGAAAATGCCTCCCATCCAGCCACAGTGCTTCACCGGGATGGGCCCCTCCCTCTCTGACATTTACCATATTTAACACTTTTTTTGTTGTTGTTTTTGTTTTTGAGATAGGGTCTTGCTCTGTTACCCAGGCTGGAGTGCAGTGGTGTAATCACGACTCACTACAATCTCAACCTTCTGTACTCAAGCAATCAAACCTCCTCATGCCTCAGCCTCCTGAGTAGCTGGACTCCAGATGTGCGCACCACCATGCCTGGCTAATTTTGTGTTTTTTGTTTTGTTTTTTTTGGTTTTTTTGAGACGGAGTTTCGTTCTTGTTGCCCCAGGTGCAGTACAATGACGTGGTCTCAGCTCACTGCAACCTCTGCCTCCCAGGTTCAAGCAATTTTCCTGCCTCAGCCTGCTGAGTAGCTGGGATTACAGGCACCCGCCACCACGCCTGGTTAATTTTTGTATTTTTAGTAGAGACGGGGTTTCACCATGTTGGCCAGGCTGGTCTTGAACTGCTGACCTCAGGTGATCCACCTGCCTCGGCCTCCCAAAGTGCTGGGATTATAGGCGTAAGCCACCGTGCCCGGCCTCATTTTTGTATTTTTGTACAGATAGGGTCTCCCTATGTTGCCCAGGCTAGTCTCAAACTCCTGACCTTAGGTGATCCACCCGCCTCAGCCTCCCAGAGTGCTGGGATTACAGGTGTGAGCCACATTTAAATTTTTCTAGAGAAAGGGTTCCACTGTGTTGCCTAGCCTGGTCTCAAACTTCTGGTCTCAAGCAATCCTCCACCTTGGCCTCCCAAAACATCAATATTACAGCCCAACGAGGTCGAACTCCTGACCTCAAGCAATCCACCCACCTCGATCTCCCAAAGTGCTGGGATTCCAGGCGTGAGCCACCAACCTCCCAAAGTGCTGGGATTCCAGGCGTGAGCCACCATGCCCGGCCCCATGGCACATTTTCCTTCCGTGGCTTTTCTTCTTGATGTCACATGCTCCCAGGAGCACAAAGAGCTCTGAGGGCTTCCTGGACACTACCTCTGCTGTGATGAGGAAGAGGGCAGGGCACCTGAGCTGCGTTTCCCGACCTTGTCCCCAGTGACAGCTGCGGCTGCGATCCAAACAAGAATGTGAAACAGTGACCATAAAAGTAAAGGCAGCACTTTTTCTTTCTATTTTTTTACTTATTTAAAAAGGCCTGCCGGGCGTGGTGGCTCACGCCTGTAATCCCAGCACTTTGGGAGGCCGAGGCGGGCGGATCACAAGGTCAGGAGATCGAGACCACGGTGAAACCCCGTCTCTACTAAAAATACAAAAAATTAGCTGGGCGCGGTTGTGGGCGCCTGTAGTCCCAGCTACTCGGGAGGCTGAGGCAGGAGAATGGCGGGAACCCGGGAGGCCGAGCTTGCAGTGAGCCGAGATCGCGCCACTGCACTCCAGCCTGGGCGACAGAGCGAGACTCCGTCTCAAAAAAAAAAGGCCTTGGTGGCAGGAATATAGTGTGAAAATCATTGGAAAACCTAAAAGGCATCGATACATATCCGAATATACACTTTGTACATAAATTACATTTCCTTTAGTCTTTCTGAGTGAGGTCCTGATTCAGTACTGAGGTCTAGTAGTTAAGAGGTCCGGGGAGCTGCACGTTCAGGCCAGCATAGTCCACCATGTACATTGGTCATTGCTAGAGAGAGTGACAAAGGGACTGGGCTAGGACTCCAGGTGATGCGGAACGAACCCAAAATGCTTAGCTCTGCTTTTGGAGGGGCTTTTCTCAGAGGTTATTTATTTATATTTGATATTTTTTATTTTTTTGAGATGGAGTTTCACTCTTTTGCCCAGGCTAGCGTGCAGTGACGCAATCTCGGCTCACTGCAACTTTGGCCCCCCAGGTTCAAGCGAGTCTCCTGCCTCAGCCTCCCGAGTAGCTGGGATTATAGGCACCGGCCACCATGCCTGGCTAATTTTTCTATTTTTAGTAGAGATGGGGTTTTGCCATGTTGGCCAGGCTGGTCTTGAACTCCTGAACCTCAAGTGATCCACCTGCCTCGGCCTCCCAAAGTGCTAGGATTACAGGTGTGAGCCACCACACCCAGCCTATTTATTTTTGAGATGGAGTCTCATTCTCTTGCCCAGGCTGGAGTGCAATGGCATGATCTTGGCTCACTGCACCCTCAATCCCCTTGGGCTCAAGCAGTCCTCCTACCCCAGCCTCCCAAGTAGCTGGAACCACAGGCATGTGCCACCGTGCCTGGCCAATTTTTTTTTTTTTTTTTTCTGATACAGAGTTTCACTCTTGTCGCCCAGGCTGGAGTGCAGTGGTGCAGCCTTGGCTCATTGCAACCTCTGCCTCCCAGGTTCAAGCAATTCTCCCGTTTCAGCCTCCCCAGTAGCTGGGATAACAGGCATGTACCACTATGCCCAGCTAATCTTGTATTTTTAGTAGAGATGGGGTTTCTCCATGTTGGTCAGGCTGGTCTCAAACTCCTGACCTCAGGTGATCCACCTGCCTTGGCCTCTTAAAGTGCTGGGATTAGAGGTGTGAGCCACTATGCCCAGCCTGTTTTCTTTTTTTTTTTTTTAATTTAATTTAATTTAATTAATTTATTTATTTGTTTTGAGATGGAGTTTTGCTCTTGTTGCCCAGGCTGGAGTGCAATGGCATGATCTTGGCTCACCGCAACCTCCGCCTTGCGGGTTCAAGTGATTCTCCTGCCTCAGCCTCCCTAGTAGCTGGGATTACAGACGTGCACCACCATGCTGGGATAATTTTTGTATTTTTAGTAGAGATGGGGTTTCACCATGTTGGCCGGGCTGGTCTCAAACTCCTGACCTCAGGTAATCCACCCACCTTGGCCTCCCAAAGTGCTGGGATTACAGGTGTGAGCCACCGCGCCTGGCCAGTGACATTTCTTTTCATGTCTCCAGCTCTGGCATGGCTGAAGGGCATGGGCAGGTCCCTCCCTGGACCTCCGCTGGCCCATCTGCCCAGCGGGGATGTGAATTCCTGCCTGAGTGCCTGTGAGTACCCCGTGAGAAGGATGGGCTACCTCTTGGGTGAGACGGGTGGATGCATCTATAACCCCTAAGGCCAGAAGGTCCCCCCTCAAAGCCCAATGCCTCCCCATCCCCTGGGCCCACATCCAGAGTAGACGGCCCTGCCTGACTGAGGGGGGAGGGTCACAGAGAAGAGGGCTGGAGTCCAAATCTGTGCAACTTTACCATGAGTGAGATCTGATTGGCCAATGCCACTGAATCCGGGTTAGAGGATGAGGAAGAGGAAGACAAGGAGGAAGAGGAGATGGAATTTCCTTCCGAGACCCGCTTTCTCTTGTGCTTGGGAATGCTGCTGTCTTTGGCTAGAAGGAGGGGAAAAGCCTGTTGATGCTGGAAGCTGAGGGTTTTCTGTCTCAGCCTCCTGAGCTCTCTGGAAAAGTGTTCTGTCTTAAGTTTTCGAGTCCCCCTTTCAGGATTTCAGGCTCCTGATCCCCTGGGGGTCAGGGCTCACCTGTCCAGAGCCCACCTGTCCAGCCTCCTTCCCAAAGCAAGCCCGAGGGCCCACTCTCCCCGGCCTCCTGCTCTTGCTGGCCTGCCTGCCTTCGTTAACACTGCATCCTCATTCCCAGGTGTCCCTTCTCCTCCCCAGCAAACTCACCCCTCAGGCCCTAGGTCCTCTCTCTGTTTGTTGTTGTTGTTGTTGTTTTGTTTTGAGATAGAGTCTTGCTCTGTCACCCAGCCTGGAGTGCAGTGGCGCGATCTTGGCTCCCTGCAACCTCCACCTCCTGGGTTCAAGCGATTCTACTGCCTTAGCCTCCCGAGTAGCTGGGATTACAGGCATCTGCCACCACGCCCGGCTAATTTTTTGTATTTTAGTAGAGATGGGGTTTCACTGTGTTGGGCAGGCAGGTCTTGAACTCCTGACCTCAAGTGATCCATCCACCTCGGCCTCCCAAAGTGCTGGGATTATAGGCATGGGCCATCAAACCTGGCCTATATTGTTTTTTAAGGTCTCACTCTGTTGTCCAGGCTGGAGTACAGTGGTGCAATTGTAGCTCACTGCAGCCTCCAAGTCCTGGGCTCAAGCAATCTTCCCACTTCAGGCTCCCGAGTAGCTGGGACTATAGGTGTGCACCACCACGCCTGGCTAACTTTTTGTATTTTTGTATCATTATGTTGCCCAGGCTGGTTTCAAATTCCCAACCTCAAGCCATCCTCCTGCCTCAGCCTCCCCAGATGCTGAGATTACAGCCATGAGCCATCGTGCCTGACTCGTGGCAACAATATTAATCACATTCTCAGTCTCTGAGTATTTTCTGGATGCTGGGCACTGTGCTAAATGCTTTGCACATTGTCTCCTGGGATCCTCCCAGCAACCCTCTAAAATCCTATTCACATTTCACTCATGAGCACCCGAAGGGGCAGGGCTGTTAAAGGACTTTCTCCAAGGCCAAGTCTGTGTGACTCCAGAGGCCACATTCTTTCCTGGGCTCTTTAAGGCTGGGAGGGGATGTGGGGCCCCGGGAGAGGCTCTGGGAGTTCTGGGGAGGCTGGGCCTGCAGGCTAGGTGGTCCAGGGAGGGTATAAAGAGGACCTGGGACTGGGTGCAGTGGCTCACACTGGTAATCCCAGCATGTTGGGAGACCAAGGTGGGTGGATTGACTGAGGTCAGGAGTTAGAGACCAGCTTGGGCAACATGGTGAGACCCTGTCTCTATTAAAATATTTAAAAATTGTATTGCTATGGTTATCACTGATGTATGGTGGCCCTGAGTGGAGAGTTCACAGGTCCAAGTAGACAGGCAGTGCCCCAGGGAAAGAAACTCTGGTTTGGAATGAGAAGTCCTAAGTTCAAATTTCCCTGTGGCCACTTACTATTATCACTGTGTGAATTTGGGAAAACCGATGAACCTCTCTGAGTCAAATGGGGAAACCAGTGTGAGGTGAGACTCAGAAAGCACCGCATGCATACAAGAACCCAGCACCTGGCCCAGCACGGAGCAGGTGTTCTGCGGTTGCTGAATTCACTTGAGATGAAGATGTAAAACTCTGAGCGGCATGTCCTGATTGGATGGGTTACTGCATGGAAACCTCGCCCAGCCCAATGAAGAAGGGCTTTTATTGTCTTTTTGAGACAAGGTCTCACTCTGTCGCCCAGGCTGGAGTGCAGTGGTGTGGTCTTAGCTCACTGCAACCTCCACTTCCCAAGCTCAAGTGATCCTCCTGCCTCAGCCTCCCGAGTAACTGGGACTACAGGTGCACACCACCCTGCCTGGCTAATTTTTTGTCGAGACGAGGTCTCTCTATGTTGCCCAGTCTGGTCTTGAACTCCTGGGCTCAAAGAATTCTCCTGCTTCAGCCTCCCAAAGTGCTGGAATTACAGGTGTGAGCCACTGTACTCAGCTCACCAGAAGGGTCTTAATGACACAGAGTAAGGGCAGGCGAGGTCCATGGGGCAAATGTCTCTTCAACTGGAGAAAAGTCAGAAACTAGGGGTCTGTGATGTGGCATAGAGACCCTGGGAAAGAGAAGACCCTGGAGGCAGGAGGAGCCCAGGCTCTGAGTCAGAGGGAATTTTGTGGGAGATTCCACATGAAAAAGAAGTCAGAGGCTGCCCCACCCTCTGTCTCAGACTGGTCCATGGGCTGTGGTCATCCTTGAGTCACCATGAGAGATGGCCACATTGGAGGGAGTGGTGGATGTGGGTGACAGTATCCACCCTCTGGGCATCTGTCCCAAATCCTTCTGAGACCTTCATGTGGCCTTCTATGTCTCTGCCATGTTTTTTGTTTTTTTTTTTTTGAGACAGAGCCTGGCTCTGTTGCCCAGGCTGGAGTATAGTAGTGCCATCTCGGCTCATTGCAACCTCCGCTTCCTGGGTTTACTCCTGCCTCAGCCTCCTGAGTGTCTGGGATTACAGGTGCCCACCACCACCCCCAGCTAATTTTTTTTTTTTTTTTTGTAGAGACAGGGTTTCACCATGTTGGCCAGGCTCGTCTTGAACTCCTGACCTCTGGTGATCCACCTGCCTCCCTGCCTCAGCCTCCCAAAGTGTTGGGATTACAGACATGAGCCACCATGCCCAGCCTCATCTCTGCCTTTGACCTGCGAGCAAACCAAGTCGCCTCCAGATCTGTGTGTTCAGTGCCATGCCTGACCCTTGTAACTGGCTCTTTTTTTTTTTTTGGAAACAAGGTCTCACTCTGTCGCCCAGGCTGGAGCGCAGTGGCGCAATTACAGCTCACTGCAGCCTCCACCTTCCGGCCTCAAGCACTCCTCCTGCCTCATCCTTTTGTGTAGCTGGGACAACAGGTATGCACCACTGCGCCTGGCTAATTTTTAACTTTTTGCAGAGATAGTGGGGCGGGGTGGGGGGTCTCACTATATGGCCCAGGCTTGTGATCAGCTCTTGATGGAAGGAGGTGGCTTCTAGCTGGGTTGTGCCACCTCAGGCTCTGGAGTTCCAGGTGAACCTGGTCCTGACAGGAGTCAGGGCCTTGGGTCTCAGGCCAGGTTGTAGCGTGGCCTTGCTGAATCCTATCACTATCCTGGCTGAGCAGCCATACTGGGCCCTGTGACCCACGGTGGTCTATGGTTCAGATGGGTGGTCCTGACAGCAGGGTCTACACAGCATCTGACTCACTATGTGGCCTGGGCAAGTCCCTGGGCGTCTCTGCGCCTCAGCTTCCCAGCTGTACAATGAGGTGAGGTAAGATTAGATCGGTATTTTTTCTTTCTTCTTTTTTATTTCTTAGGAGATGGAGTCTCAACCAGGCACAGTGACTCACGCCTGTAATCCCAGCACTTTGGGATGCTGGGGTGGGAGGATCACTTGAGGTCAGGAGTTTGAGACCAGCCTGGACAACATGGTGAAACCTCGCCTCTACTAAAAATACAGAAAGTTAGCTGGGTGTGGTGGTGCATGCCTGAAGTCCCAGCTACTCGGGAGGCTGAGGCATGAGAATCGCTTGAACTCGGGAGGTGGAGGTTACAGTGAGCCAAGATTGCAAGATTGACTCCAGCCTGAGTGACAGAGCGAGACTCTGTCTGGGAAAAAAAAAAGGCCGGGAGCAGTGGCTCACACCTGTGATCCCAGCACTTTGGGGGATCATGAGGTCAGGAGTTCGAGACCAGCCTGGCCAACATGGGGAAACCCCATCTCTACTAAAAATACAAAAAATAGCTGGGTGTGGTGACAGGAGCCTGTAATCCCAGCTACTTGGGAAGCTGAGGCAGGAGAATCACTTGAACCCAGGAGGCGGAGGTTGCAGTGAGTGAGATCATGCCACTGCACTCCAGCCTGGGTGACAGAGCAAGACTCTGTCTTGGAAAAAAAAAAAAGGAAAAAAAGAGTTGGGGTCTCATTCTGTCATCCAGGCAGGAGTACAGTGGCATAATCATAGCTCACTGCAGCCTTAAACTCTTGGGCTCAAGTGATCCTCCAGCCTCAGCCTCCTGTGTAGCTGGGACTACAAGTGCCTACTACCATGCCCTGCTAAATTTTAGAAAAAACTTTTTGGTCTATGGCCATACCACCCTGAACACGCCTGATCTTTCCTGATCTCAGAAGGCCTGGTTAGTACTTGGATAGGAGAAAAAAACCTTTTGTAGAGACAAGGTCTCACTATGTTGCCCAGGTTGGTCTCAAACTCCAGGACTCAAGCAATCCTCCCATTTAGGCCTCCCAAACTGCTGGGATTAGAGGCGTGAGCCGCCACACCCGGCCAATCAGTTTCTTTTTCTTTTTCTTTTTAAGACAGAGTCTTGCTCTGTCACCCAGCCTGGAACACAGTGGTGTGACTTTGACTCACTGCAACCTCTGCCTCCTGGGCTGAAGCGATCCTCCCACCTCAGACTCCCAAGTAGCTAGGACTACAGGCGTGCACCACCATGCCAGGCCAATTTTTCTTTTTCTTTCTTTTTTGATTTTTTTTGAGGCGGAGTCTTGCTCTGTTGCCCAGGCTAGAGTGCAGTGGCACAATCTTGGCTCATTGCAACCTCTGCCTCCCAGGTTCAAGCGATCCTCCTGCCTCAGCCACGCTAGTAGCTGGGACTACAGGAACATGCCACCATACCTGGCTAATTTTTGTATTTTTAGTAGAGATGGGGTTTTGCCATGTTGACCAGGCTGGTCTCGAACTCCTGACCTCAGGTGATCCACCCACCTTGGCCTCCCAAAGTGCTGGGATTACACGCGTGAGCCACCGCTTCCAGCCCTAATTTTTCTATTTTCAGTTGAGACGGGGTTTCACCATGTTGGCCAGTCTGGACTCGAACTCCTGATCTCAAGTGATCTGCCTGCCTCGGCCTCCCAAAGTGCTGGGATTACAGGTGTGAGCCTCCGCGCCTGGCCCAATCAGTGTTTCTTAATCGGGTGCACATCATAGTCACCTGGGAGTACCTTCTCCTAAGTCCCATCATCCACCTTAATCAGAACCATCATGCCAGGCGGCCCCAGGTGCCTGACGAAAGGATCTGTATACCCTGCAGATGCCAGCAGAACGGAGGGGGTCTGGCCAGTCTCGGGCAGTGCCTGCCTGCCTCACCCCTTCAGTCACATGCTACCCCTCTGCTACCCAGGAGGCCTCCATGATGCTCCCTGAGGCCCGGCCTGCCTCTTGTCCTTCTAGCTGACCTCCTACATTCATTGGTGCTATGGTAGGGCCTCCCCTCTGCAGGGCACCTGCAGGTTTCCGGGGGCCTCTTGGGGATACCTGGCCTCATTCATGGAGACCTCAGGCTCCCTGGGGAGGTACCAGGGTGGAGAGGGGTTATATATTTTTCAAGGTGGTCAGCCATCTATTGCATGCCCACCTGGACCACATCTATCTCTGCCTTTAAGAAATTTATTCAATTTTTTTTTTAAGAGACGAGGTCTTGCTCCATTGCTCAGGCTGGAGTGCAGGGGCGCGATCTCAGTTCACTGCAACCTCCGCCTCCTGGGTTCATGCAAATCTCCTGCCTCAGTCCCCCGAGTAGCTGGGATTACAGGTGCCCATGACCACGCCTAGCTAATTGTTGTATTTTTAGTAGAGACGGGGTTTCACCATGTTGCTCAGGCTGGTCTTGAACTCCTGACCTCAAGTGATCTGCCTGCCTTGGCCTCCCAAAGTGCTGGGATGACAGGCGTGAGCCACTGTGCCCGGCTCTACCTTTTTTCAAAAAGAACAGTCTCTAGTCCCTGCGGGGCAGAAGGGCGGCTTCTTCACCTCCGACTCACCTGGCACCTTGGCATCATTGCAGATTTCTGCAAAGGGTCTGAAAAAGAAATTAGGTGGCAGTTAGAAAATGAGGTTTTCCCCTCCTTTTTTTTTTTTTTTTGATATGGAGTCTCGCTCGGTCACCCAGGCTGAAGTGCAGTGGTGCAATTTCGGCTCACGGCAGCCTCCACCTCCTGGGTTCACGCCATTCTCCTGCCTCAGCCTCCTGAGTAGCTGGGACTATAGGCGCCCGCCACCACGCCCAGCTAAGTTTTATATTTTTAGTAGAGACATGGTTTCACCATGTTGGCCAGGCTGGTCTTGGCCTCAGGTGATCCTCCTGTCTCCGCCTCCCAAAGTACTGGGATTACAGGCATGAGCCATTGCATCTGGCTGTTTTCCCCTCCTTCTCACCTGCTGCCTGAGATGTGCTGCTGCTGCTGCCCAGTAAGACCCAAATAAAAATGGAGAACACACTGTCCCAACAGAGGAGCCCCCATATAGGCCCTGGATGATGGGCCTGTGCCAGCAAATCATTCCTCTGGGTCTGCTGTCCTCATCTATAAAGCGAGGATGTTGTCTGACCAAGTGATCAGAAATGTGTGCCCAGATTTATGCAAGTGGATAGTCATCACAGCATTATTATTAATTATTATTTTTGAGACAGTCTCACTCTTTTGCCCAGGCTGGAGTTCAGTGGTGCCATCCTAGCTCACTGCAGCCTCGAACTCCTGGGATCAATTGATCCTCCTGCCTCAGCTTCCCAGTAGCTGGGAATGCAGGTGCATACCACCATGCCTGGCTAACTTTTTAAAATTAATTATTATTATTATCATTATTTTTGAGACGGAGTCTCGCTCTATTGCCCAGGCTGGTGTGCTGTGGCATGGTCTCAGTTCACCGCCACCTCCACCTCCCGGGTTCAAGCAATTGTCTTGCCTTAGCCTCCTGTATAGCTGGGATTACAGGCGTGAGCCACCACACCTGGCCGTTTTCCTGCATTTTCTAGTTGTTACTTCAGGGGGTGAACTATCTGTGGGAGAAAGGAAACCTCCACTTTTTGATTTTGAACAATTTGTTTTTTTTTTACACATGCAAATATTATCTTAATTTAAAAAAACAGGTAGACCAGGCATGGTGGTTCATGTTTGTAATCCCAGCACTTTGGGAGGCCGAGGTAGGCGGATCACTTAAGGTCAGGAGTTTGAGACCAGCCTGGCCAACATGGTGAAACCCTGCCTCTACTAAAAATACAAAAATTAGCTGGGGGTGGTGGCGGGCACCTGTGATCCCAGCTATTCAGGAGGCTGAGGCATGAGAATCGCTTGAATCTGGGAGGCAGAGGTTGCAGTGAGCCAAGATGGTGCCACTGCACTCCAGCCTGGGCAATAGAGCAAAACCTCATCTCAAGAAACAAAACATGTAATATAACACTGAAGGCAGGCCAAGTGCTGTGGCTCAAGCTTGTAATCCCAGCAGTTTGAGAGGCCGAGGAGGGCAGATCACCTGAGGTCAGGGGTTCGAGACCTGCCTTACCAATATGGTGAAACCCCCGTCTCTATTAAAAAAAAAAAAAAAAAAAATTAGCCAGGTGTGGTGGCACATGCTTGTAATCCTAGCTACTCGGGAGGCTGAGGCAGGAGAATTGCTTGAACCTGGGAGGTGGAGGTTGCAATGAGCTGAGATTGTGCCATTGCACTTCAGCCTGGGTAATAAGAGCAGAACTCCATCTTAAAAAAAAGAAAAAAGAAATACACCACAGGCCAGGTGTGGTGGCTGACCCCCATAATCCCAGCACTTTGAAAGGCTGACATGGGAGGATGGCCTGAGCCCAGGAGTTCGAGACTAGCCTGTGCAATACAAAATAAAATAAAATAAAATAAAATAAAATAAAAAGTGGCTGCGCGCGGTGACTCATGCCTGTAATCCTAGCACTTTGTGAGGCCAAGGTGGGTGGATCACCTGAGGTCAGGGGTTTGAGACCTGCCTTACCAATATAGTGGCCTGCAAGACAGAATGAGACTCCATCTCAAAAAGAAAGTAATAATATATTAATAAAATAATAATTTAAAAATATAAAGAAATGCATCACAGTGTTGACTTTCAGTAGGAGAGTTACAGCTATGTTCTTTTCTTCTATTTTTTTTTGTATTTTCCAGGTTGCTTTGTGTATTGTTCTGAAAATAATAAAATCATCTATTGTATTAAAAAGAAAGACTGGGCCGCACAGTTTGGGTGTGGTGGTTCACACCTGTAACCCCAGCAATTTGGGAGGCTGAGGTGGGAGGATCACTTGAGCTTAGGAGTTCAAGACCAGCCTGGGCAACACAGTGAGACCCTATTGAGGCTGCAGTGGGCCATGATCATACCTCTGTATGCCTGCCTGGGCAAAAGAGTGAGACCCTGTCTCAAAACAAAAACCAAAACCCAAAAGACTGTAAGGATATATGGTATAATAGTAATAACGGAGGCTGAGTGCAGTGGCTCACGCCTGTAATCCCAGCACTTTGGGAGGCTGAGGCAGACAGATCACTTCAGGTCAGGACTTTGAGACCAGCCTGGCCAACATGGTGAAACTGCATCTCTACCAAAAAATACAAAAATTAGCTGGTATGGTGGTGCACACCTGTAATCCCAGCTAATTGGGAGGTTAAGGCACGAGAATCGGTTGAAGCCAGGAGGTGAAGGTTGCAGTGAACTGAGATTGTGCCACTGCACTCCAGCCTGGGTGACAGAGCAAGACCCTGTCTCAAAAAAAAAGAAAAAAAAGTAATCACTGAGACTATGGAATTATAATTATTTTTTAAATAAATATTCATGTTTTATTTAAACATTCATATTTAAATACATATTTATATTTACATATGTTAAAAATCAGAATTGTATACTCAGAAGAAGTCAAATTTAATGAAAACATATTTTGTTTTTGTTTCTTCCCCAGAGAACAAATTTAATATCTAAAAAAAAAAATCTTTAAAAATAAGTAAATGTCCATGAGTGTTGAAGTGTATGTTTCAGGAGAAAGAGGCAGGAACTATTACAGTACACCTGGGTCTGGATCCCAGCTGACCCACTGTGACCTTGACTTTCACCCTCCCCATGGCCTCACCCTCTCTGTTGCCCGTTCCAGAGGCCAGGCCCTTACTGGAGCTGGTTAATGATGACCATGAGGATGTGCTCTCGGGCCTTCAGGATCTTCTCAAGCCAGTGGATGTCGTAGGTGTTGGGGTTCCGGAAGGGGATGTCATCAGGCAGGCCCGTGACCTCCACGGCATCTGGACTGTCCCGGATCGGTTTATAAGGGACCAGCACCGGTCGGTTCAGGCCCAGGGCCTCACCTAGAGGGCACAGGAAGTCACAGTGAGGAAAGATGTCTCCTGTCCAAGGCAAAGCCCGGTAGGGAAAGGGCTGGAGTCTGGTCTGCCTCAGCCCAGCAGCCATCACACCTAGAGAATTTAAAAATCAAGACACACAGGCTGGGTGTGGTGGCTCATACCTGTAATCCCACGACTTTGGGAGGCTGAGGTGGAAGGATCGCTTGAGCCCAGAAGATCAAGACCAGTCTGGGCAACATGGTGAAACATCCTCTCTACTAAAAATAGAAAAATTAGCCGGGAGTGGTGGCGCACACTTGTAGACCCAGCTACTTGGGAGGCTGGGGCAGAAGGATCGCCTAAGCCCAGGAGGTGGAGGCTGCAGTGAGCAGAGATTGCACCACTGTACTCCAACCTGGGCAACAGAGTGAGACCCTGTTTAAAAAAAAAGAAAATCAACATACACAAAATGTGGGTCATAGGCAGAGCAGCCGTGTCCCCAGGGAGCAGGCAGGCCAGCTGGGGGCTTCTGAAGGCGAGGCTGGCTGCAGAGGGAGGGAGGGCCTCCTGCTTCCCCCGGGAGGAGGGCTTGGTGTGCTGATCCCGACCATAGGCACTGACCATATTTCTCGTTGAAGAGTTCCTTCACCTGCTCCCACAGGATCACCTTCTCCCCGAGTCTGTTGGCGTCATCTTTATCTAAAGAGGAAGACAAGGGGGCATGAGAGTTGGCATCGGCTTGGCCACCGGACCTGCTGCTTCTCCCACCAGGCATCCCTGACTTGCCAAAACATTATCTGCAGGCCCCACCCACTCCCATGCACCTGTTTATTTATTTATTTATTTATTTAATTTTATTTATATATTTTTGAGACAGAGTCTCGCTCTGTTGCCCAGGCTGGAGTGCAGTGGCATAATCTCAGCTCACTGCAACCTCCACCTCCCAGGTTCAAGCGATTCTCCTGCCTCAGCCTCCCAAGTTGCTGGGATCACAGGCACACACCACCATGCCCAGCTAATTTTTGTATTTTTTAGTAGAGACGGGTTTTCACCATGTTGCCCAGGCTGGTCCCAAACTCTTGGGCTCAGGTGATCCACCCACCTCAGCCTCCCAAAATGCTAGGATTACAGGCTTGAGCCACTGCACCTGGCAGTAGCTGGTTTCTAGTCTCAGTTGTTGGTCTGTCCATCCATCCATTTTTCTTTTTTTGAGACATGGTCTTGCTCTGTCATCCAGGCTGGAAGGCAGTAGTGCAATCATAGATAGCTCATAGTAGCCTCCAAATCCCAGGCTCAAGTGATCCTCCTGCCTCAGCCTCCTGAGTAGCTGGGAATAAAGATGTGCGCCACCACGCCTAATTTTTTAAATTTTTGTTAGAGATGGAGCCTCGCTATGTTGCCCAGGCTGATCTTGAACTCCTGGCCTCAAGTGATCCTCTTGCCTTGGACTTCCAAAGTTCAGGAATTACAGGTGTGAGCCACGGTGGCCAGCCCATCCTACATTTTCTTACCAGTGTCCCCAGCACAGGCCCTGTGTTGGGCATGAAACAACCTAAAGAGAAGAGACAGGGCTGCTCCCCTGAGGGGATCCCAGCCAGAGGGGGTGTCACCTGGTCACTAAAGTACAACAGAACACACTTAGGAGACAAGGGGCATGAATCAGGAATGCCCACCCTGTCTGGGCAAGTCTGGGGAGACCTCCCCCAGGAGAGCAGGATGCTTGAATGGGCTCTCAAGGCCTGACATGGTGGCTCATGCCTATAATCCCAGCACTTGCGGAGGCAGAGGCAGGCAGATCACTTGAGGCCAGGAGTTCGAGACCAGCCTGGCCAACATGGTGAAACCCTGTCTCTACTAAAAACACAAAAAGATTAGCTGGGTGTGGCGGCGGGCACCTGTAGTCCAGCTACACGGGAGGGTGAGGCAGGAGAATCGCTTGAGCCTGGGAGGTGGAGGTTGCAGTGAGCAGAGATCACGTCACTGTACTCCAGCCTGGGAGACGGAGACCTGTCTCAAACAAAAATGAAAACAACAACAGAAAAAAACGGACTCCGAAAAGGCAGGTAGGAGTTTGTGAAGGATGGAGTGGCAGTGGGAAGACAATGGGGCAGAAGGACCATCCAATCACAGGCACTCAAGGGTGAAAGATCCTGTGTTGGCCGGGTGCAGCAACTCACACCTGTAATCCCAGCACTGTGGGAGGCCGAGACGGGCAGATCACCTGAGGTCAGGAGTTCGAGACCACCCTGGCCAACATGGCGAAACCCCGTCTCTACTAAAAATACGAAAATTAGCCAAGTGTGGTGGCGGGCACCTGTAATCCCAACTACTCAAGAGGTTGAGACAGGAGAACTGCTTGAACCTGGAAGGCAGCAGTTGCAGTGAGCCAAGATTGCGCCACTGTGCTCCAGACTGGGCGACAAGAGTGAAACTCCGTCTCAAAAAAAAAAGGAAAAAAAAAAAAAGGAAAAAAAAAGAAAGATCCTGTGTACTGGAAGTGGCTGAACTTCGGGGTGGTATAGGGGAGACGACTGATGGGCCTAGCGGGGTCTGTGCACAGGGGCTGGTGTGACTGTGCTGGGCTGTTGGAAATCCCCTGACTGCTCGCTGGCCAAGATCTGTGAATGGGAAACAGACTGTGTCTGGGAGTGTGGGGGCTGTGCATTCTCCCCGCTCACTGCCCAGGCAACCGTCATGGCCTATCTGCTACTTGAGCCCTGGCGTGCTCCGCTGTCCCCTCCCTGTAGCCTAGAGAAGCTGCTGGGGTCAGTTGGCCCTGGAGACGGGGCCTGAGCTGGGCTGTAAGGCTGAGGGGTGGTTGGGCTGGAGATGGGGTCTGGGGTAGAGCTCTGCAGCAGCCTGCAGGCTTGTGCCAGGGTTGAGGACGGGGCTGGGATTGCAGGAAGGGTGGTTTGCATGTCCAACAGGAAATCTCTCTGAGAAGCGTGGGGTCACGTGGGCTGGGCCTCTGGGGCAGGCGGATAGGGTAAGGGTGAGATGTTGGGGGAGTAGAGCTAGAAGCAGGCAGGGAGCCAGGGCCGGATGATGTAGGGCAGAGGAGACTGATGGATCTTTGGAACAAAATGACTCCTGTTTTTTTTCCTCTTGTTTTTCCAAGACAGAGTCTCACTCTGTTGCTCAGGCTGGAGTGCAGGGGTGCGGTCTCGGTTCACTGCAACCTCTGCCTCCCAGGTTCAAGCTATTCTCGTGCGTCAGCCTCCTGAGAGCTGGGACTACAGGCGCCTGCCACCACGTCTGGTTAATTTTTGTATTTTTAATAGAGATGGGGTTTTGCCATGTTGGCCAGGCTGGTCTCGAACTCCTGAGCTCAGGTGATCTGCCTACCTTGGCCTCCCAAAGTGCTGGGATTATAGGCGTGAGCCACCGTGCCCGGCCTGACTACTATTTTTTGAGACTCCCTGTTTCCCAGGTTGGAGTACAGTGGTGCCATCATGACTCACTGCAGCCTTGAACTTTTTGGTTCAAGCAATCCTCCCCGCTCAGCCTCTCAAGTCGCTGGGGCTCCAGGCATGGACTACCGTGCCAGACTAAGGTTTTTTTTAAATTTTTTGTAGAGAGAGTCTCTCTCTGTTGCACAGGCTGTTCTTCAACTCCTAGGCTCAAGCGATCCTCCTGCCCTCAGCCTCCGAAAGTGCTGGGATTACAGTTGTGAGCCACTGTGCCTGGCTCTTTTTTTTTTTTTTTTTTTTTTTTTTTTTTTTTTTTGAGACGGAGTCTCGCTCTGTCACCCAGGCTGGAGTGCGGTGGCCGGATCTCTGCTCACTGCAAGCTCCGCCTCCCGGGTTTACGCCATTCTCCTGCCTCAGCCTCCCGAGTTGCTGGGACTACAGGCGCCCGCCACCTCGCCCGGCTAGTTTTTTGTATGTTTAGTAGAGACGGGGTTTCACTGTGTTAGCCAGGATGGTCTCGATCTCCTGACCTCGTGATCCGCCCGTCTCGGCCTCCCAAAGTGCTGGGATTACAGGCTTGAGCCACCGCGCCCGGCCTACCTGGCTCTTTTAATCTTGAAAACTCTGCGAAGAGCTCACTTCTGTTTAGAGGCTGCCTTGGGAACTGCATCTCCTGGGCTGGTGCTCTGTGCTGCTTGGAGTCTGCTGACCCCATCTGGGTGGTTTGGCCTCCTATGCACAAGCTGCCCAGAAGGGAGGCCCTGTTCCCAATGTGGGGGTTGCCCCAAAGAGCAGGGAGCTTCCCACAGGAGACAGGCTGGGCACCTGCTTGGCCTGGTTCCTCCTTTTCCCAGGGCTCCAACACTCACCACCTCAGGTCCTTCCAAACCCTGCAGGTCCCTGGCCTGGTCCATCCACACCCACATTGAGGAATCTCCGCACATCTCTGAGTTGCTGCATCTGTCTTCAGGCACAGCCTGCCAGCCCCCCTGGGTGCCCAGATACACTGCAAACATCAGCCATCCCAGACAATGTCCTCCTCCCGTGTCCCTATCTTGTGGAGTAATGCCTCTAATTCAGCCACACCAAGACCCCACGCTCCACATCTCCTAGAACCCTCCTCTTCTCCTGTGGCCCAACATGGCCCTTTCTTTCAGGACTAGGATGTGGGAAGAATCAAGGCCACCCTTGTCCAAATCCCATGCAGACCACTGTAATGGAGTCCTGGGCCCAAGGACCAGTTCCTAGAGCCTGCAGGGAAGCGACGGCACATTCCATCTGTCCCCATGCCACTGAGGAATCTTTGGTGGCAGAATTCTCAGCAGGCACGGCTGTGCGTGCACAGTACAGAGAAAGGATGGCCTGGATCACACACATCACTGTGTGCAGATACTTTCCTAGACACTGCAGCCAAGGACACAGAGGCTCAGAGAAGTAAAGAAGCTTGCCCAAGGTCACACAGCCACTAAGCACCAGGAGTACTCTGTGTCGACCCCAAAGCCCTGGTCTTTCCACTCTACCATGAGCCCTGGGTTTCCTGATGTCTCGGATTCCCCTACATTTCTTTCTTTCTTTCTTTCTTTTTTTTTAAGAGTCATGCTCTGTCACCCAGGCTGGAGTGCAGTGGTACGATCTTGGCTCACTGCAACCTCTGCCTCCTGGGTTCAAGTGATTCTCATGCCTCAGCCTCCCGAGTATCTGGGATTACAGGTGCCCACCACCATGCCTGGCTAATTTTTGTATTTTTAGTAGAGACAGGGTTTCACCATGTTGCTCAGGCTGGTCTCGAACTCCTGGCCTCAGGTTATCTGCCCGCCTCAACCTCCCAAAATGCTGGGATTACAGATGTGAACCACCATGCCTGGCATCTGCTATAGTAGCTGTAGAAAGCAGGCTTAATCTTTAAGATAGTTTCCTCTAAATCTGTTGCTCTCAGCCCACAATGCCACCCCTCTGTCTTCTCCTGTGCCGGGACAGAGTGAGACTCAAAGTCAGAGCGCTACGAAGCCTGCAGGATAGAAAGAAGCTTAGCAGGCCCCTCAAAGACGAGGCCCAGAACGGGCATAGTGGCTCACTTGAGGTCAGGAGTTCTAGACCAGCCTGGCCAACATGGTGAAACCCCGTCCCTACTAAAAATACAAAAAATTAGCTGAGCGTGGTGATGCGTGCCTGTAATCCCAGCTACTCAGGAGCCTGAGGCAGGAGAATCCCTTGAACTGGGAGGTGGAGGTTGCAGTGAGCTGAGATTGCGCCACTGCACTCCAGCCTGGGCGACAGACCGAGACTCCA